ATCATCTTGTAAATATCCAATATGCAGGATGTATTTTCATTCATTTGGCACAAATACTCGATACGCCCAAATTTGAATACTGGTGGGGTTGAGGGGAGGATTGATTTTGTCATTTGGGAGTTGTAGTTGCTGGGATTTATAGTTCACCTACAATTACAAAGAGCATTCTGAACTCCACCAATGATGGAATTGAACCAAACTTGGGACACAGAGCTCCCATGACCAACAACAAATTCTGGAAGAGTGTGGTGGGCATTGACCTTGAGTTTGGGAGTTGAATTTCGCCTATATCCAGAGAGCACTCTAGACTCCAACAATGGACCAAACTTGGCACGGATACTCCATATGCCCAAATGTGAACACTCGTGAGGTTTTGGGAAAATAGACCTTGAGATTTGGGAGTTATAGTTCACCTACAATCAAGGAGCGTTCTGAACTCCAACAATGATATAATTGGGCCAAACTTCCCACACAGAGACCCCCATGACCAACAGAAAATACTGTGTTTTCAGATGGTCTTTGGCGACCCCTCTGACACCCCTTTGCGACCCCTCCAGGGGTCCCGGCCCCCAGGTTGAGAAACACTGCGTTAAGAGGATGGGGGCTGATCTAATGTCCCTGGGGAGGGCATTCCATATTATTATTATTTCTCCGAAGGATGGTTCAAAGTCTGCATCACGATGAGCGCCATCCATGTCACACTTATTAACACCCTATATATACTTTTTGTGCATTTTTGCAAAAAGCCAAAGTAGCCTCATGTCTGATAATCTCTCTTGTAGGGAACTCAGAAAATATGCCTCCCTTACAGCCCTACGAAGACATTGTCTGTAAAATCTATTTTAAGGTAAGGACCATTTTATTATTATTATTATCTATAATACAATTATTATTATTATTATTATTATTATTATTATTATTATTATTTCTGACCCGTTTGAGGTCTACACCAGCTGTTCAATTGTTGTTGTTTTTGTTGTTGTTGTTGTTGTTTCTGACCAGTTTAAGCTAAGGTCTACACCAGCTGTTCAGTTGTTGTTGTTGTTGTTGTTGTTGTTGTTGTTATTTCTGACCATTTTGAGCTGAGGTCTACGCCAGCTGTTCTATTATTATTATTATTATTATTATTATTATTATTATTATTATTATTAGGTATAGATAGATACATATATATTTTCACATGTATTCTATACATTTTTGCTTTCCTTTCAGTGCCATGAATCTTGACAAGTTTGAGAAAGGGCCAAGAGAGATCCTTCACCCAGAAATCCAAAAGGTAAATTCCCCGAAACAAGAAACGGATGTTGGATTGTACAGGAAAGAGAAATTGATTCAGAGGAAGTAAAAAAATAAACTAGGAAAAAACACAACTTAAAATAATCGAACTTTTAAAACCCACCCCTTTTGGGACTGGAAGTGAAGGAAAGAAAAAGAACCAAGTGGATTGGCTGTGGGTGGATTATATACATATGAAGGAAGGAGAAGGAAGGAAGGAAGGAAGGAAGGAAGAGGAAAGAAGTAAAAGGAAGGAAGAAAGGAAAGAAGAAAAAGAAGGAAGGAAAGAAAATGAAGAAATAAGGAAGGGGAGAAGGAATGAAGGAAAGAAGGACGTTAGAAGGAAGGAAGGAAAACAAAGAACAAAGGAAGGAGAGAAGGAATGAAGAAGAAGGGAAGGAAGAAAGGAAAGAAGAAAGAAGGAAGGAAAAGAAAGGATGAAAGAAGAGGAAGGAAGAAGGAAGAAGAAAAGGAAAAGAGGAAAGGAAGGAGGGAAGGAAGAAAGGAAAAGAAGGAGAGAAGGAAGGAAAGGGAGGAGGAGGAGGGAGAGGAAGGAGGGAAGAAAAGACCAAGAGGGAAAGTGAAGGAGAAAAGAGAAATAATGGAAGGGAGAAGGATGAGAGAGGGGGAAGAAAGAGAAGAAGGGAAGGAAGGAAAATGTGTGAAGGTAAGTTTGGGGGTGTTGTAAAAGATTCGGGACTATAATTTGAAAAGAAGGGAATTCACTATGGAAAGAAAAACAAAGGAAGGAGGGAGGGAGGGAGGGAGGGAGGGAGGGAGGAAGGAAGAGAGGAAGGAAGGAAGGAAGGAAGGAAGGAAGGAAGGAAGGAAGGAAGGAAGGAAGGAGGAGGAAGGAGCGAGCGACAGTCTGAACTCTCACTAAAATGAGGGAAAGGGAAAGAGAAAGAAAGAGGAAGAGAAACAAAATGCAAATTTGGGCATCACCATCTCTCTCTCTCTCTCTCTCTCTCTCTCTCTCTCTATATATATATATATATATATCCTCAAATTAATAGATTATTATTGTTTTGTTTGGCTTCACTGTCACATCAGCTTAAACATTTACTCTCTTTTTCCTCCAGGATTTATTGGTCCTTGAAGAGCAAGAGGTAAGTCCACAGCCGCCCTACATTTCCAATATCGCTTTGTTGCCTTTTTTTGCTTTGTCCCCTTTCGCTTTGTTCTTTGTCCATAATGTTCCCAAGATCCAAAGGAGCCTAAATGGTGGTTTTGGGAATGCGAATGCCAATTACAGTGGCTGGTCATCTTCCGTATACATGTATACATAGACATGTGTGCAATCTCATATATACAGACGCATATGCACATACAAATATACACATACACATATACATACATACATACACATAGATAAACACTGGACTGACCTTGAGGGAGCTGGGGGTGGTAACGGCCGACAGGGAGCTCTGGCGTGGGCTGGTCCATGAGGTCACGAAGAGTCGGAGACGACTGAACGAATGAACAACAATACACAGATATGTACAGATATACCCATACCCGTATATATATATATATATATGTGTGTGTGTGTGTGTGTGTGTATATCCTCACATACATACACATATATACACACATACATATACATACATATGTCTACATATACAGATATATACACATGCATACTTATATATACATACATAGGCATACATATGCATATACCCACATATATATACACATACATATGTATACATATACAGATATATAATAATAATAATAATAATAATAATAATAATAATAAACCTTTATTTGTACCCCACTACCATCTCCCGAAGGACTCGGTGCGGCTTACAAGAGGCCGAGCCCAAATACAACAATAAAATAGCAGCAACAACAATACAATAACTAAAAAAACAACAACAACAAAGCAACATACATACTTATATATACATACATACGCATATACATATACCCACACACATATACACATACATATGTATATATGCGCATATAGATATATACAGAAATACCCATACATACACATACATATACAGATATCTACAGATCTACTCATACACATACATACATACACATATACACATACATATGTATACATACGCATATATATATACACACATACATATACCCATACACATATGTACATTCACATATACACAGACACATACATACACATATATATGTATATATGTGTACATACACATATACCTATATACATGCACATCACACACACACACACACACACACATATATATATATATATACTAGCTTGGGAACCCGGCGCTGCCCGGGTTATTAGAGAAAGTGGGTAACAGCTGTTCTCTATGCCAAGTTTAGTCTTTATTGGTCATTGGATAACGGCTGCATTGTTTTCAGGAAGTGAGTGAAGGTACTTGAAGTCCCATCATCCATGGTCCACCCTCCAAACAGCAGCAGGATATAGAGTGGGTCATGGGGGCACTGTGTGCCAAGTTTGGTCTTGATCAGTCATTGGCGAGGGTCTCAGTGGTCTCAGGAAGTGAGTGAAGTTACTTGAAGTCCCATCATCCACTGTCAAATTCTTCCAAACCGCACCAGGATGTAGAGTGGGTCATGCGGACTCTCTGTGTTAATTGTGGTCCCGATTCATCATTGTTGGCAATTGTAATGGTCATAGGAAGGGAGTGCAGGTATTGCAAGTCCCATTGTCCATGGTGCATCCTGCTCCAAACTGCACCATGATGTAGAGTGCATCACGGAGACTCAGTGTGCCAAGTTTGGTCTTTATCGGTAATTGGATGTGGGTTGCAGTGGTCTCAGGAATTGAGCAAAGGTACTGCAAGTCCCATAATCCATGGTCCATCCCCAGCCCAACCACACCAGGGCGTAAAGTGGGTCATGAGAGGTCTATGTGCCAAGTTTGGTCTAGATCAGTCATTGGATGAGGTTCACAGCGGTCTCAGAAAGTGAGTGATGGGACTGGAAGTCCCATCATCCATGGTCCGTCCTCCTCCAAACTGCAGTAGGATGTAGAGTGGGTCATGGGAGCTTTGTGTGCCAAGTTTGGTCTTTATTGGTAATTGTCTGACTCAGCCCCTGGCCTTTTCCTTTCATCTCTTTGTCCTCTCGGAATCTTGGAATTGAGGCTGGCCAATCAGAGACCATATGCAAATTTCCTTCTCATGTCCCCGTTTCTGTCATTAACCGTCTTCGCCACCAGGGGGTCCTGTTGAGGTTGGCCAATCAGAGACCATATGCAAATAGCACCACAGTGGCAGCCAATCAGAAAACTGCCACAAACACGTCCGCCCTACATCCTACCTACCTCTGTCCTACGTCGCATACAAACATTGACTTTTATTATATGTATAGATATGGCTGTCCATCTTCTGCATTTGCTGGGGTTCAAGGACAAAAACCATGGATTAAAAATGCTATTTATTTCAAGCCAGAAGGAACACCTTTCTAAGTATGTTTGAGTCCTCTGTTGTGGCCTACTTCTGTTAGAAGATAACAGTAATAATAATGATAATAATAATAATAAGATGACCATTAGAACCACTTTGGAGGGCCTTCAAATGCCAAGAATAATCTTCACTCCTGGATCTCTTTTATTGAGCTGTTTTATTCCACTCTTTGCTACTCCTTTTCCCCCAGGGCTCGGTCAATTTTAAGTTTGGGGTTCTTTATGCCAAAGACGGACAGCTGACGGATGACGAGATGTTCAGCAATGGTGAGTCTGCGTATGAAACTCTCGTCATTGGGAAGCAGCATATAGGCTTGTCCCAATGAAAAGGGCCTCTGTGTGCCAAGTTTGGTTCTGATCCATCATTATTGGGGGTTGCAGTGCTCTCAGGAAGTGAGTGAAAGTACTGCATCTCCCATCATCCATTGTCCACCATCCCCCAAACCACAGCAGGACATAAAGTGGGTCATGAGGGTGTGTGTTTGGTCCAGGTCAGTGATTTGTGCGGGTCACTGTTTTCTGTGGGAGCTGAAGCAATAGAAAGTACTACAGATCCCATCATCCGTGGTCCATCCTCCCCCAAACCGCACCAGGACGTAAAGTGGGTTGTGGGGGTTATATGTGCCAAGTTTGGTTCAGGTCCATCATTCGTGGGGGCTGCAGTGACATCCAATCAGAAAACTGCGACATACACACATACCCACCCACATACTCGACAACAAACATACAAACACCGACTTTTATTATATTCTAGCTTGGGAACCCATGGTGCCTGGGTTATTTGAGAAAGGCATTGTTTGCCAAAGTTGGTCTTTATGAGTTATGTATGTGGCTCGCAGTAGTCTCAGGAAGTTAGTGAAGGTACTGCGAATTCCATCATCCATGGTCCATCCTCCTCCAAACAGCACCAGGATGTAGAGGTTCATGGGGGCTCTGTGTGCCAAGTTTGATCTTGGTCAGTCATTGGATGAGGGTCGCAGTGGTTTCAGTAAGTGAGTGAAGGTACTGCAAGTCCCATCATCCATGGTCCATCCTCCTTCAAACTGCAGCATGATGTAGAGTGCATCATGGGGGCTCTGTGTGCCAAGTTTGGTTTTTATTGGTCATTGGATGAGGGTCGCAGTGGTTTCAGTAAGTGACTGAAGGTACTTCAGATCCCATCATCCATTGTCCATCCCCCTTAGAACTGCATCAGGATGTAGAGTGGATCATGAGTACTCTGTGTGCCAAGTTTGGGCCTGCTCTATGATTGTAGGGGCTAAAATGTTCTGTGGGAAGTGAATTGGGTAAAGGTACTGCAAATCCCATCATTTGTGGCCCATCCTGCCCTTAACCGCACCAGGTTGTAAAATGGGCCATTGGGCCTCTGTGTGCCAAGTTTGGTCCTGATCTGTCAGTGGTGTGGGCCACTGTGTTCTAAGGAAGTGAGTTAAAGTACTGCAAGTCCCGTCATCCATGGTCCATCCTCCCTCAAACTGCACCAGGATGTAGAGTGGATCTTGGGGGGTCTGTGCGCCAAGTTTGGTCATGTTCTGTCATTGTTTGGGGGCCACAAGGTGTTTTGGACTTCAACTCCAACCATTCCTGACAGCCTCAGACCCTTACCTCTTCTCTCTCTGCCACCTCAGAATGTTGGAATGTTGAGACTGGCCAATCAGAGTCCATATGCAAATTGTACCACAATGGCAATCAATCAGATAGCTGCCACAGCCTCAGGCCTTTACCTCTCCTCTCTCTGTCACCTCAGAATGTCGGAATGTTGAGGCTGGCAAATAATACCACAGTGGCAACCAATCAGAAAGCTGCCACATACACCGCCCTCCGCATACATACATACATACATACATACATACATTCTCTTTTATTATATATAGATATATAGATAATTGTTATTATTATTATGTTTATTTATACCCCGTTTTTTCTCTCCATAAAGGAGACTCAAAGTGCAAAAACGGCAACCGTTCTCTCTCAACGGATTGCAATTTACGGCTTGCAGATTTGTCTCGCTTGCGTGCATTACTCTGCAAAGGGTCAGATAAACACGAGCGGTGGCGGCACCACCTTCATAACAACCATAAATCCACCTCCGCCAAAAACAAAAAGAGAGAGTCACGGGTTCCATCCTATAAACACATCTCCTTTTATGCCAAACCGGGTTGCGATTTCGACACATTTTCCTCGTATCGCTGTTTTTTCAAAAAAAAGGTTAGGCAGCTTCTTGAGAATTCTGCGGAGGAATCTGTCGGCATCGGGCGCTCGGAACATTCTGTGTTTATATGACTCAAAGGCTCTTTCTTAATGCCTTGGTTATATTTGCAAAGCCAGCTTGGCGTATTTGTGTTCGCAACAGCCGGCGTGTATGCGTGAGAGGGAGAAATATCTGTATAAACTTGGTGTGTTTCTTCTTCCTGCAAATCTGCTTTCTTCGATCTGTTTATCTCAAGTCAAGTACGGAGTCTTCTCAGAAAATAGGATCTGTTTGGACAAGATTTAATCCATAACTCTCTGTTGATAGAATCCTAGAGTTGGAAGAGACCCATGCAAAGACCCTCTAGTCCAACCCTCTTCACCCATGCAGGAAAAGTACAATCAAACCACTCCTAACAGATGCCCATCTAGCCCCTGCTTAACAACAAAACCAACAATAGAGCCATAGAATCATAGAGTTGGAAGAGACCCCAATTGTCATCCAGTCCAACCCCATTCTGCTAGGCAGGTAAATAAAATCAAAGCACTCCTGACAGATGGCCATCTAGATACTGCTGGATATGATGGTCATCCAGCTACGGATTGGTCACATA